AGAGTGGTTGCATAAGTGGCTGATTAAATACCTGGGATTAATTACCTGCCTGACTAACCGGCGGCATAAGTAATTTCATTGGCTGAGTAACTGTCTGATCTGGCAAGCTGACTTACTGAGTTGAAGGACTAACCGAAGAACCGCCTCATGAACTGACTGACTTACCTACTGTCCTACTGAAAAAAAGCTCACTAACTGACTGGCTGACTGACTGAACTGAGGGACTAACCGAAGAACTACCTCATGAACTGATTTACCAACTGACTTACTGAAATAAAACCCGCCTCACTGACTCACTGACTCACCAACTAACTCACAGTCTAACTAGCCAACCGACAACCGACTGACAGCCCGATGAACCGCCTCACTGAATACCCGACTGAGAACCGAATCGACCGAGTGAAGGACCGGTTTCCATCCCGAACCCGACCCGACCACTCCGGGCAAGTGACACGACCCGGTCTCGCGGAAAACATCGCTGACAGATGAACGGCTCGGATGCTGGCGGCGGTCCCGAGCGAGGCTGGGTCAGGAGATTGTGCGGGGCTGGGTGATGATGGAGTGTGGTGCCGGGTGAGGAGATTGTGGGGTGTTGGGTGATGAAATTGTGTGATGCTGGGTGATGAGAGTGTGTGATGATGGTGTGTGATACAGGTGTGAGCTGAGAGTGTGATGCTGGGTGAGGCGACAGTGTGATGTAGGGTGAGCTGAGAGTGTGATGTAGGGTGAGGCGACAGTGTGATACAGGGTGATGGTGTTGTATTGTGATGACGTGTGGTTATGGCGTGGTGTGATGGTGTGTGAAGTGTGTTGATGGTGTGTGGTGAGTCTGTGTAATGTTGGTGAAGAGACTGTGATGGTGCGTGATGAGACTATGAGATACTGACGAGTCTGCATGATGCTTAGTGATGGTGCATGGTGAGTCGTGTGATGCAGGGCGATGGTGGTGTTTGAAGTGTAGCGATAGTGTGGGGTATGGAATGTTATGATGGTATGTGGTGTGATGCTGGGTTGTGATGGTGTGAGGTGATGATGTGCCGTGATGGTGGGTTATGGTTGTGTTGTGATGATGTATTGTAATGGTGTGTGGTATTGATGTGCGGTGATAGTGTAGGGTGATGGTGTGTTGTGATGCTGCGTGATGTTTGGTGATATTGTATAGTGCTGGATAACGATGGTGGTGCTTGTTGATGATGGCGATGCTGCAAAGCGTTACTGGATGGTGATGCTGGTGATGCATCCTCCTCTCCTCTCTTTCGCGCTGTTCTTTCTCTTTTAACTCTCTTCATCTGTACCTCTTTATCCATTCTCTTCTTTCATTTTCATAACTTCTATAATTTCCATCTATTTCTATTTCCTTTTTTTTTATTCTTCCATTTATTTCCAGCTCCTCATCTATTTCTTTTCTTTCACTTCCTTCACTCATCTGTACCCCATCTCCCTGTTCCTCTTTCATTTCCGTCGCTCCTTCCATATTTTCCGTTCATTACTGCATCATATCTCCTTTTTCCTCTCTACGTTCTCTCTTTCATCCTTTCCTCCTCATTTCCCTACCAGTCCTTCTCCCCTCTTTCTGTTTCCATATCTTTCTCCCCTCTCTCTGTTTCCCTTCCCTGTGCTTTGGGCAAACACGTAAATGCACAGCTGAAATATACACTTGTACTTGCAAATCGTAAAGAATCAAAAATGTGTGTGTACGTTCTTCCATGCTTCCCCTGGTATGGTTACATCTCTCTTCCTCTCTTCCTCTTTCCCTTCTCCTTATTCTCCTTTTCCTTTGCTTCTATCTGTTCCTCCTGTTCCTTCTTTTTCATCTCCTCCTCCGTCCTTCGTCTCTTCCTCCTCCCCCCGTATTCTTCTTCTTCTTCTTCCTCCTCCTCCTCCTCTGCCTTCTTTGTATGTCAGCCTCCAAAACTCCATAGAGGTATTTTGTTATTAAATGCACAGCTGAAATACACAATTATAATTGCAAATCGTAAGGAAACAAAGTAGCGTATGCGTGTGCTTACATGCTTCCTCTGGTATGTTTACAATTCTATTCTTCTTCCTTTTTTTCCTCTCCTTCTGCTTCTCTTCCTTCTTCCTCTCCCTCCTCCTTCCTTCCCTTCTCTTTCTCTGTCTTCTCTTCCTTCCCTCCGTATTCTTCTTCTCCCTCCTCTTTCTCCTCGGCCTCCTCTTCCTCCCCTATGTACGCTTGCCCCCATAGCCCTCTACCCCCATGCCCACTACCCCCATACCCCCACATGCCTCTCTCCCCCTCCCGATGCAACAACACCTGTGTTTACGGCTCACTTCCTCCTATCACAGATGGTCCCTTGGTTTTCGCTTATCTCGCCTGCGTTTTATGTCTTGGGCATGGTGGGAAGTGGGGGGGAGGAGGAGGGGAGGAGGGGGAGGAGGGGAGGAGGGGAGGAGGGGAGGAGGGGAGGAGGGGAGGAGAGGAGGAGGAGGAGGAGGAGGAGGGGGAGGAGGAGGAGGAGGGGGAGGAGGAGGAGGAGGGGGAGGAGGAGGAGGAGGGGGAGGAGGAGGGGGAGGAGGAGGAGGGGGAGGAGGAGGAGGAGGAGGAGGAGGAGGAGGAGGAGGAAGAGGAGGAGGAGGAGGAGGAGGGGGAAGAAGAAGAAGAGGAGACTGGGGAGGATAAAGAGGAGGGAGAGGAGGAGGAGGAAGAGGAGAAGAAGGAGGAGATGAAGGAGAAGAAGAAGAAGAAGAAGAAGAAGAAGAAGAAGAAGAAGAAGAAGAAGAAGAAGAAGAAGAAGAAGAAGAAGAAGAAGAAGAAGGGGAAAAAGAGTTTATTATTTCTTCTCCCCCTCTTGCCCCTTCCCCCCTCCCCCTCACCTTCCCTTCATGTCTTTATGTCTTTATGCGCATTTTTCTTTTGATTACCGGATCTGTTTGTAGGTATTTCCTTTTCATTGTCCTGTTTTCCTATCGTTTTGCATAATCATTATTTTCACAATATTATACCGTCCTCTCCTTCCCCTCCCCTCCCCTTCCCCTCCCTCTCCCCTTCCCCTAACCCTTCCCTCCCCCTCCCCTTCTTCTCCCCCTCCCTTTCTTCTTCCTATCCCCTCCCTCTCCACCTCCCCCTTCCCCTCCGTCTCCCCCTTCCCT